AGTCAGAAACTCATCTCCTCAATGGCCCTCGAGTCGCTTCCTCCCACAACAGGCTAGTGCGTTTCTGAGGGAAAGTTCCCCGTGACTAGGTCACAGTTGAGGCTCCAAGAGCGAAGGTGACTTGCTAAGGTTGCCCAGGATGCCCTGGTTTTTCTGGGATTACAGCTAAGGTGTGCTCATCTCTACTCATACCCTGTCTGTGCACCCAATCCTTCCCTCCCATGCAGAGACCCACTGCACATTCTTCGTTCCCATTCCTGAAGAAGACTCCAAGCAGTCCCTTGAGTCCTAAGCAGCAAGAGAATTACACACTGAGCCCTGGGTATCCATCACACTGCATATACTTACAACGCCCCTCTCATGTCCTTAGGAGGACGCTTCTGTTCCCGCTTAGGAGAACTAGGGAGAATACATAGTCAATTTTTTTTTTTTTGGTGGGATTTAACTCTTTCAAAATCCCAATTGAGAAAAGCTGTGGATGTTTAGTCCCCTTGAATGATTAATTCTTTTCAGGTCAAAGAGTCCTTTATGTGGTCTGCTGAATTATTCCCTCCCTCCTCCTACGTCCTCCCCCCTTACTCCTCCCACCTCCTCCCCCTCCCTTGTTTTAATTTAATCCCATCTCCTTTTGTCCAATGCCCTGGGATGTAGAGGATTTATTAGCGTGTCTCTCATAAAACCCACGCATAGCAGGAAATTAAATTCATCTAGCATAAGCACCTGTTTGGAGAGCTTGGCTGGTTGCTCTGTTCTACTTCATGGTTGCCAAGGTGATCGCAAAGTGACTGATGACTTGTTCTAGGATGGTCCAGGTACCGATGTTAGCATCATCAACTAAGTGAAACACTGTGGGGAGAAACTCACCATGTGGTCCAGGGTACCCCAGACCCAGGGGTACTAAATATCAGAGCAAAGAGGCCAGAGTGGTCCAGGGTACCCCAGACCCAGGGGTACTACACCCTGAGGGGACAGAGATCCTGTCAAGAGCTCAAGACAGCCTTAGAAAAGAGAGGTTATTGTCTTGAGTGGCCTCAAGGGGGCAGACTTAAGAGTCATGGGCATAAATAGAAAGAAAGAAGATAGATTTTAGTTCAAAATCTGGACAGTGGGGGAAATACAAAAAGCTGATGGGTTTTTCCTCACTAGAGATGGTTCCCCAAGAGTTTGAGAGGGGGACTTAAGACGCTTCACCCCAAACCATTATCACCCCATCAAGCTAGAAAACTCCAATGCTAGTAGCAATAACTTCCAGGTTCATTGTTCTCCTTGGGAAACTTTGTTCCTTCTCTCAAGGGACTGGAGTTTAGTTTACTCCCAACGTAACACAAATGAAAAATAAATTGCATGTTACTTACATCCAAAGGGTTCTTTCACATATACAATATAATGAGACAAATATGTACTCTGGATCTACCTATTAATGCAAAAAAGATAAGACAATAAGAATAACCGCCTCTTTTTGAAGGTAGTAGTATAATACCTCACATGTATTTGATTTCATTAATATAAATATGGCAAGATAACCCTGTATTACTAAAAGATAGGCATGTTAAACCAAAGAATTCCACAGACGCTTCTCCCAAAGAATCATGAAGACGGGAGAACTCTTGCCAGAGCTAAGGAAGAGGCTCCTTAGCTGTCCAATAGTTGGTGTATGGACACTCTCTGTGGCCCAGAACGTTACTCCTGTTTAAACACTCATTAGATAAATCAAACTGTGGCTTTTATTTCTGTTTGGCGGGCAGGAACTGACAAACCAGCATCTTAAGGGATTGACAAAATATGCAATTAGGCACTATCAATCACCATAAAAGAGCTCGATTCTTCTTCCATCAGATAAGGGCGGCTTAGTCTACTGGAGTGTGACTTAACTCACCGAGGTCTCCAGCTCCAAGTAAGCTGTAGCGAGCTCCCTGCTGCAGAATGAAATCACCATTGCTGGGTCTGGAAACAAGTACAGTCAGGAGGGCAGAACTTCCCTAACACCTTAAACAGGACACTCCCCCATTTCTTCACGCCAGGCTCCTTTAAAAAAAAAAAAAGAGGGGGGGGGAATAAACCAAAATGATCTCTTAAACTCTTCCCTATTTTAATTGTATCTAGACATAGAATTCTAAACAGAGGCCAAAGAAAAGATAATATTCTGGAATTAAGAGTATGTCTATTTGTCAAAACTGCTGGGAAACGTCACGGGACCTCCTTTTCGATGAATGTTATTTCTTCTTCTTGATTTAGTGTGTGTGAGGTTCCTAAAAGATGTTTCCCAAGTTATTTAGTTAAAGTTTGGGGCAACTTAAGTACACGCTAAACATAAGATTGATCCATGTTCGTCCTGAAAAGCGTTTGCCTTTTTCTTGGTTGTTGCTGGGGAAAGATTCAACCCTGTGCTTATTTACTCCAGACCCTCATAAACAGGAAGTCGGTTTTAAAAGTTCTACTTCCACAATTCAGGGTAGAAGTGTATTTAAAGAAAGGCTATTGCATAACTCAAAGCCTCTTCCTAAAATGCATCAGACCCAAGCCAATTTTGGAAAACACAAATACAAGGTGGGTGTGTTTTGAAAACTATGTGGACATATGAGACCTTTAGCTGATATTTGTGGCTTTTATGGTTAATATTTTGAGGCACTTGTCACACACACTAAAAGTGTGTGCTACTGAAGAAAGTCAAAAGGTCCACGGAAGCCGGGCGGTGGTGGCGCACGCCTTTAATCCCAGCACTCGGAAGGCAGAGGCAGGAGGAGCTCTGTGAGTTCGAGGCCAGCCTGGACTACAAGAGCTAGTTCCAGGACAGGAACCAAAAGCTACAGAGAAACCCTGTCTCGAAAGTCAAAAAAAAAAAAAAAAAGTCCACGGAAGTTTCATATCTAAGCCCCACTTTGGAAGTAAACACTGCACCTTGTTTTCCATAAAGTGTTTTATAGTTCTGCTGGAGGAAACTAGCAATATGTTCTAAATGGCTAAGTAAATTATATAAAGTTCACTGAAAAATTCAAATTTGTCTGATAATTAAGTTATGTAAAAGCACTTTTATAGTTTCCGTAGCATTTGATTCACACTCACCCCAATGAAGATGACTTTATCACACTCACTTTATTGTTTTTCACACACACACACACACCACACATTTGCATGTTCACCCCCTTAGAGATGGAGGGAATTTGATCCTGCCATTGTGGTCTGACTAAGGAAAACGAATGTCAAAGTTCCAAGGTGCCCCTGGAACGCAGGTGCTCGGACCCCAGTTGTAGGTTTCTCCTGAACCCTCCCCCTTTTACTTCATGGAATAACACTGAAGAAATGGATCTTAGAATCAGACAGATCGGGGTTCAAATTCAGCTTCTGGGACTGCCTGGCCAGTGTCCATGGGCACGCGGTTTGCCCTGTTGAGCCCCAGTGGAGAACTGAGCTAAAGAAAATACCCGCATGGGACTGTGGGAAGGGTTAAACGCAATAATGCACAAAAGGCACACAGCAGAATGTTCCCTAAATGTCAGCCATTGTTATGTTATTATGTAATCTACTGAGTATGTTTGGCTATGCAGTGTGAAAGAGTTGCAGTTTGTCAGAGATAACACATGGGAAATCAAACCCTGAAAATGAATGGTTTTCCCAACAGTCCAGTCATTTGCACGGGATCATAGTCCATGAATCTTAGCCTCGGTCTGATTTTTTTTCAAGGGAGGAAACAATTATCATTTACTTTCTGTAGTTTTAAAACGGCCTCCAGAGACCATGTTTTTAATATAATGAATGATATGAAGTTTTTTTTAAGGCAGAAATTGTCCAACAGTAGCAGGTTCACACAACACAGCTAAAAAGATTAACGAATTATCCAGCCAACATATGAAAGGATATTTTTATAGTTTCAATGAAGTTATTGAAGAAATTGTTTGAAAATTTTCCAGTCTGGAGAGATGGCTGAGTGATCAAGAGCATTGACTGCTCTTCCAGAGGACCGTGGTTCAGTTCCCAGCATGTGAACTGGTACATTTCTGTATCTCCAGTCCTAGGGAATCTGATGCTCTCTCCTGACCTCCAAAGTAGGCACAAATACAGTGTGCAGACATTTGTAGAGATAAAACTCCCATACACATAAAAATAAGTAAATTAGTTTAATTTTTAAAAATTTAAAAAGAAAATTGTAAATACTTCGATTGCTAATGAAATGGGAGATGTAAAATTACTACCTTGCTGCCTGCAAGTCCTCAAGAGGGAAGAACGCCAAAAAAATATTTTTCAAAAAGTGTGCTGAGAAACTCTGTCGCTGTTGAAGTCACCTCCTGTGCTCTTGCCAAATAACTCCTGAGAATCTGAGAATGGGAAAAGAGGGCGTCATTTATGAGCGGCCCGGGAGGGTGGTACCTGGATGTCAACGTGGATGCTTGAATGGTCCACACTCCACATCTCCACGTGAGCGCTTGTGTGCGTTTCTTTCTGAGTGCTTCTAGGTGTCCCTGCGTTTGTTTATCCTCCTTTCTGTGTTAGATCAGGAGACAGTTGTCTCTGACCTGAGCGGGCGCGGGTGTGTCTCGGTGTCTGTGGTTGTGGTTTCGGCATAAGTCTGAGCATGTCCATGTCGGCCGGGTGCGTTTGTGCCTGTGTGTGCGTGTCCGAATGAGCTTGCTCAGTCTCTGTTCCTGAAGGAAAATGCACTGTGTGCCACCCGTATCCAGAGACCCCAGTCCGCAGTGACCTGCGCAGACAGGTAGAACTGCCAGACTGCGCTTGGTTGGCGGGTCGCAAAGCAGACCCGGATTTCTGTCTCTGGGGCCCCGCTAGGGTAGCTGGGAGGGAGTGGTGGCTTGGCCTCCACGGAGCTGCTGCGCCCCGCCCGGGCCAACCCCAAGAGGAGGCGGGCTAGGCGGGGAGGGTTGGTCCTTAGTGCCTCGCCCCTTCGGGCATGCGACCTTGCCATTGGCCCAAAGTTGCTTCACGTCACGGGGCAATTCCCCCTAAAGTCTGGTGCACATAACGGGCAGGGCGCACTGCGAGGCTGCTTCTCCGGCTTTCAGGCTGCAGCTAGCAGGCACAGCGAGCCGCGAGCACCCCACGAGCTGAGTGTGCAGGACGCGCCCCCAGCACAGCCACCTCCAGCCGCTGAATGAAGCTTCCAGGAGTCCGCCCCCGGCCGGCTGCGCCCCGTCGGAGGTGCACCCGCTGAGAGCACCAGAGCGCCTAAAGCCGGTGCGCTCACCTGCTAGTCTGCTAGTCATGGGGCCACCCGGGAACGACAGCGACTTCTTGCTGGCACCCAACGGAAGCAGTGCGCCAGACCACGACATCACTCAGGAACGGGACGAAGCGTGGGTGGTAGGCATGGCCATCCTCATGTCGGTTATCGTCCTGGCCATCGTGTTTGGCAACGTGCTGGTCATCACAGCCATTGCCAAGTTTGAGCGACTACAGACTGTCACCAACTACTTCATAACCTCTTTGGCGTGTGCTGATCTAGTCATGGGCCTAGCGGTGGTGCCGTTTGGGGCCAGTCACATCCTTATGAAAATGTGGAATTTTGGCAACTTCTGGTGCGAGTTCTGGACTTCCATCGATGTGTTGTGCGTCACAGCCAGCATCGAGACCCTGTGTGTGATTGCAGTGGATCGCTACATTGCTATCACGTCGCCATTCAAGTACCAGAGCCTGCTGACCAAGAATAAGGCCCGAATGGTTATCCTGATGGTGTGGATTGTCTCCGGCCTTACCTCCTTCTTGCCCATCCAAATGCACTGGTACCGTGCCACCCACAAGAAAGCCATCGACTGCTATCACAAGGAGACTTGCTGTGACTTCTTCACGAACCAGGCCTACGCCATTGCTTCTTCCATTGTGTCTTTCTATGTGCCTCTGGTGGTCATGGTCTTTGTCTATTCCCGGGTCTTCCAGGTGGCCAAAAGGCAGCTCCAGAAGATAGACAAATCTGAAGGAAGATTCCACTCCCAAAACCTCAGCCAGGTGGAGCAGGACGGGCGAAGTGGGCACGGACTCCGAAGGTCCTCCAAGTTCTGCTTGAAAGAGCACAAAGCCCTCAAGACTCTGGGCATCATCATGGGCACTTTCACCCTCTGCTGGCTGCCCTTCTTCATCGTCAACATCGTGCACGTGATTCAGGAAAACCTCATCCCTAAGGAAGTTTACATCCTCCTTAACTGGTTGGGCTACGTCAATTCAGCTTTCAATCCCCTAATCTACTGTCGGAGTCCAGATTTCAGGATTGCCTTCCAGGAGCTTCTATGCCTCCGCAGGTCTGCTTCAAAAGCCTATGGGAACGGCTACTCCAGCAACAGTAATGGCAGAACAGACTACACAGGGGAGGTGAGTGGATGCCCGCTGGGACAGGAGAAAGAAAGCAAACTGCTGTGTGAGGACCCGCCAGGCTCGGAAAGCTTTGTGAACTGTCAAGGTACTGTGCCTAGCCTTAGCATTGATTCCCAAGGGAGGAACTGTAGCACCAAAGACTCACCGCTGGAATGCAGGCTTTCTACTTTTTAAGACCCCCCTTCCCCCGACAGGACACTAACGAGACTATTTAACTTGAGTGTAATAACTTTAGAATAAAATTGTATAGAGATTTGCAGAAGGGGGAAGAATCCTTCTGCCTTTTTTTATTTTATTTTTTTAAGCTGCAGAGAGAGGAGAGAGAGAGAGAGAGAGAGAGAGAGAGAGAGAGAGAGAGAGAGAGAGAGAGAGAGAGAGAGAGAGAGACTGTATTTGAATGTTTGTTTGGTTCTTGTACAGTTCAGTTCCTCTTTGTATGGAACTTGAAAGTTTCTGTCTGAAGTGTCTTGGTCCTAGATGACTGTGTCTATATGTTTAGATCACTTTTCCATTTATCTACCTCATTGGTCAAATATTAGAGATACTATATATTGCTGCTAGTCATTTGTATCTGAAGGAAATCTTCCTTCCTGTACCCTTGGAACTTGACAACCCTGTGTCTTGGACCTTTCTGCTGTGAATACGGACTCTCTCCCACTCCCCTTGTTTGCTCAACTGGAGTGTTCTAGGCAGAGATCTGAGGGACAGCTTCAGTTGTTTTTCTGAGAAAAGTCTAAAGTTTACAGTAAATAAATTGTTTGACTATGAATTCATTGCACCTGTTTCTCCAAACCCTCTTGACTCTCGAGTGTCCTTGTCTCGCCCACTGGAAACCACAGGTAACTATGTGTCATAATTGCTGAGTGGCTTAATAGGGAAGGCTACCAGAGTGGTACGCACTGATTCGCCTAGCCTTCCCATGTGCCTTTGGATCTCCAGATGCAAGCCTGTATCTTTCCGAATCTCACTTGTGCCCCAAATCAGCCCCGCCTGCTCTCTGCATAACCCCATGCATCCTACAATTGCTATTCTGTGCCTGTCACCTTGGAAACCCTGACTCACAGAGACAGAGTTATGGGCATATGTTTTGCCCCACAAGCTCCTGTCCCCCAACTCCCAGCCCTACTTGTTTAATAACTGTGTGGGTTTATATCACTGCCGGCTCTTACAGTAGTGCCCTTTGTACTGCAGTAGGGCTTGATGTACTCAGGACGAGAAAAATGTTCTGTGGGAAAGCTACTGAAAAATCTCAGGATTCCAAGGGAAATCGAAGACCTTGGTCATAGAGAGCAAAGCTTTAAGAGATGGCTGGTAAATACTTCATACCCTGAACATGGGTTCAGCCTCTCCCCCTCCTTCCCTCTGTCCCATTTCTCCCTTCCTCTCCTCTGCCCTCCCCTGATGCTTGGCAAGTCTGTGTAAATCAGGTTTTCTCATGTGTTATAGGCTGTTTACCTGTACCCTGTAAATTCCAGTAGCACCCCTCAAGTTTATAAATCAGCCAAAAACAGCCTCAGCCATGACCTGTTACTCAGAAGGGTAAAGTAATCCTTAGCAGAAAGACTGGTGTAGACTTTGAAAATCTAAATCGGCTGAGTTTTTGCTATTTCCTACAAATGCTGTTTTGTATTGTTGACACCCAGGAAAGGGGTTTTTCCCCAGTTCACTCAGTTCTGACAGCCCCTTGGCCCCTCCTCTTTCTTCTTCATCACACTGCCTTCTAAACTTGTGTTCCAACTGCCTGGGCAGTTTCCACAAGAAGTTAAGGTTTTAGGGTTCACGCACGAGTTATTTGGGAGGGTTTATCAGTGGAGGTGAGGCCCGCAGGCCCTCACCGCCTGTTTGCAGAGAGATTATAATACTGTTAAGAGGCACAGAGGGAAATCACAAAAGTAAACACATTTCTTCTCGCAGTTCCATTCTATTTTTGCCCGTGCGTTGGAGCCAGAGCATGGCCCAGGTTTCATGGAGTGGCTCATCCCTCTTGGCAACACCCGGCTGGAGAGGATCAGCCTGTGAGGTTCGGTGCCACAGCTTTCGCTCATAGAGCTGACTCTATTTCTATCGTCCCTACTGTCCAAGGTCCCCAACACCAGCCTCCTCTGCTTCTCAAAAGCTCAGTGAGGAGGCCTCTGGTGAGCAATGATCTCCCGAAGGGAGGCTGAGGCCAAGCCCATGCTGTGCAAATTGCACAGCGTGTTATTCTATTGCGAGCACGTTTTGGTCAAGGTTTTCATACCACAGCCTCCTCCTCCTCTGGGCCTCATGTCTGGAGCTACAGCAAGCTTCTCCATATATTCGCCACATACCCCATAGCCTCACAAGGTCTTGGATTTGGAAGAGCTCATAATCTGAGCAGCCTGAAAACCCAATAAAGGAAAGGAACTGTTTAAGGTAAGTGAACAAAGACGCTCGAGCACAGGTAAGACAAGAGCTTGACTGCCAGCCAGGAATCCTATGCTCTCTTATAGCATCACCACTGACCTCTGCCCTCAGCTGAGTTGTGGAGTCTTTCCTTGGGGCTGCATCATGCGTTAGTCATCAGGGAAGATGTTTTCATATGAAAGTCAGGAACTCAATAAATACTCTGCAAAAGAGCTTTGCTTTATTAAAAAGAATCTACTAGGTTATCCCTTGCATTAGGGAAGTTGGAAAATCCCTTAACTCTTTATGACTAAAAATGTAATTTCAAGCAACTTCAGTTAGAATGCCTTATAGTTTTTACATATATATATATGCATACATACACAATATATATTTTTTTAAAACTTGCCTTTATTTGTTAATTATTTGTTAATTAAGTAGACAGTAAATATTATTAATAAGCCAATATTATACATACATACTCTAATATACTTCTAATGCATTTGGTTAAAATTTCAGCTATAAGGGGCTGGAGAGATGGCTGGGTTAAATTCCTAGCACCCACATGACAATTCACACACACACACACAAAAAATAAAACAATTCAGCTGCGAAAGTTGACATCAATTCTCAGCTAAAAGAGATGTGCAACATTTGAGTCCTTTTAGGAATGCTTTAAACTTAAGAACCTGCATCGGTTTTTAAGGAGCTTGGGAAACGAGAACACCATGGGCCTCTTGCAACCCCTTGTTTTTCACCTTTTATGTAGCTTTGTCCCCCCCCCCCCCCGTCCCTCCGTGTCTCCTGTTTGTTGACATGCTAGTTACATAAGGTCTGTGGCGGATTCATCACCGTAAAGTTTTCTTTGCCTGGACAGCAAGTTCTCAGCGTCTGTCATGTGAGAGCCTTATCCTGAGATACAAGTTGACAGGTGTGAACGGTGGCGGGACAGGGTGGGCCTGCCTGTAAGATAATTACTGAGGCCAGGAATCTAGGAGGGGAAAGGAGCCTGGAAATTGGAGCTGCCTTTACATGCTGCTGAGAATGTGTGTGACGGTGGATTTGCTGCCAGATCGGTCTACACCAGAAAGAGTCCTGGGTATTTGCACCTACTGTGTGCAGCGTGAGAGAGATGTAGGCTGTGGTCTCCTCCTTCTGGACCACGCTATAATACTCAACAGTCATGTGCCATGGAACCAAACTGAAGGCTCGGGTTAAGTTAGGCCACTGCTGAGCTCTCTCTCGGCCATCTTCACAGCCATCAGATGCAGGCAGAGGAGTTGTCATCTGGCAAATAAAGCAACTGCTGTGCAGAAAGCCACGCAGCCGGCTGGTTGCCAAGTAAATATCAGAACCTAGGTCTGTGTGATTCAATGCAAGGAGCCTAGCACCTATGCAAAGCAGGAAGCGGCAGGGGGGCAGGGAGAAGCGTGTGTTATGTGCCAAAGCAAGCGTCAGAACTGGAAATGCAATACCTTGTTGAGAGAAGAGGGAGGTTGTTATGGGTGGGGGCAAGGAGGGATGTCCCTTCAAAGGTTGTGCTGGATGGCTGGGGTCTAGGGCAAGGAACCAACCACCAAAAGTGCCTGCTTGACATCTCTGGGTCTTGGCTGTGTCTTTTCTTAGAGGATGAGGCCAAATAGAAAAAAAAAAAGGATATGAAACTTGAATGTGAATACAACAGGGTAAAACTGAAGCCCAGGCTGCCACAGGTCCCAGCAAAGTCACCCTCAGTGCCAAAGGCAGGAAGGTCGTGTAAGCTGAATGGGTAGCTGAGCCTGGTGGACATTGGTCTGGGCTGTCCTAGACGTGTGCTGTCTGTTTCGAGCTAGTGTTCTAAGGCAAAGGGCAATTCTTTTCTGACTACAAAGAGCAAGGAGGACCCATGCACTTGGGGTGACACGTTTAGTAACAGTATAACCTCCCTTCTCCCCGTCAGCTCCACAGTACAGCACAGGGTCAGGTCTGTGCTGAGCCTTACTTTATTGGCAGACAGCGCAAATATAATTGGATGGAGGAATGTTTAAAATACTTCGGAGAACAAATTTTCTGAACACTTTCAAGAGCTTGAAATGCTGGTGTCTTTCAGGTGGCACACACCTTTAACCCTAGCACTCAGGAGACAGAGACAGGAGAATCTCTGTGAGTTCGAGGGTAGCCTGTTCTTCAGAGTGCGTGCCAGGACAGCCAGGGCTACAAAGTGAAACCGTGTCCTCAAAAAAACAAAAACAGAAATGCTGGTATCTTGCAAACAATAGGAGACGGGTGAAGTGAACAGATTTTTACTTCAGTTCCTACAACTGGGTTAGGGGTAGATCCCAGTTCAACGACTCACTCTCTTTCCCTCCCTCGCTGTCTTTTCATAGTCCAGGAAGGCAGTTTCCTCAGGGGACCTCAGTTTGCCTGCCAATAAAATGTAGCCACTATAGATCATACCCAAACTGTGCTAAGCCCTGAATTTATAGAACTATTCACATAGAGGCTAAATAGAGATTTCTAAATATCTCATGTTTCTAGTTATAGTTGATGACATTTGCTATGGAAATAATAACGAGCCGTTCTGAGGATAGTCAGTCTGCCCAGGACATGCCGTAAGGTGCTCTCAAGTGTTGGAAGACCATGTGAGGATAAGGCAGAGTCTATTGTTTGTAAAGACTGGAGTACACTCATGGCTTCCTGGCTCGGCAGATTCCACGGCAGGTAAAAGAAGACTTTCCTGAGTGTAAAAGAGGTTTCCTTTCAGAGTAATGAGCTTTCCATCTTTGGACATATTCATGGTGAAGCACTGCTCAGGATGGAACACAAAGTTGTCCATCAACCTGGGCGAGGATCCTTCCACATCTGTGATCCCATTTCTTGAAAATGATAGACCTGATTGGCCTGTGCTCATCCCTCCAGCTCTCCTTCTCCCCCAATTCCTCTGGATTTCGGAGGTTTCACTGCATTCATTACTGGGAAACCTCCCGGGGAAACCAGGGCCTCAACAGTCCCAGGCCATGGGGAGCATCCAGAAATAGAGCGATAAGGTTAAGCAGTTTTCCACATTATTAGACCTTTTCATCAGCTGCTCTTCCCATGCCTCTTGCAAATGACCTACTAACTCCCACAGAGAGAGGAACGGAGGGCTGCAAAGGTCTCTCTGCAAAGGCTATTACATCCTTCTCCACCCTCAGAATCACCGCACTTCCTGTGGTCTGTCAGTCACCCTCCAGGGCAGGAAGGAAGGGAGGCAGGTCCCTGGCCAGCACAGAATATTCCAAACGGTCTAGCCCCCAACCCAGAGACCTAAGGTCTGTGGTGGCCCAGCCATTAATGGTCAGGATGGGGAACCTCTGGCAGGCCACTTCCTCTCTCTGCACATTTTATCTTGGCTTCTGAGAGGTCCTCTGGGTTACACAAGCTTCTAACTTTCCTTCATCCTCCAGTATCTGCGGGAGTTCAGGATGTCTTCCGTGTTGCCCATCTGGTCCCTTTTTCTTTATCTTTAAAGCACGCTTACTCTTATTAAATGG